GCTCTCTTCTGATAACTCCTTTTATCATCTCCTTTCTCACATTCAGTTTAGAGCTTAAAGTGGGAATTTTTTTTTTTTTTTAAGTATGTTTTCCTGGCATCTCATGTTTAACAGTGTCAGGGGTTTGTGTCCCTGGAACGAAAACTGTTTCTCCAGAGCCTTTTTTCTCTCAGCTTCCAGTGAAAAGAGGGGCGAGGCGAGCCAGTCGCTTACCACAAAGCAGTTCCACCACAAAGGAAAGATTAAGGGTTTAGAGAGAGGTCAATGTGGGTTTTTCTCTAACTAAACACTTTCCTAAAGTTTCCTTGTGGAAAAATAATGAAGTCATCTCAGAGTTTTTAAAGAATTTTTATTTCTTTTTCACCGTCTGCATTCGCTTGTCTTCTCAGCATGGATGTTTAATCTTCCTAGGCTTTGTGAATTGGCCCAAATGAATAAGTGGTGAGCTGTCTCTCTAGGAGCTAGAGGCTTATTCTAAGGGCCTAATCACTGAGTAAACACATCTTTGCCCTCCCTCTCACAACTGCGATATAATAGTCGAGATTCTAGCACAGTAACCTGGATATTGCAGGGACCAATGCTTTGAAATGCAGAATGGTTGATCCTCCAAAACAGACAGTGCCTGATCTTCGCCTGCTTCTTTCTTCTTTTTTAAATTAAATATTGCCAAAGAGATGCTGTTTTATTGCTTGATATTGTGCATTAGTGCCCTGGATTTCCAAGTTTAGTTTCAGTCAACACTGTAGGCTGCACTTATAGGGAACTCTGCATGTTGGGCTTCTTAGTAGCCTCTTCGGCACATGTGTGTTTGGTTTGGAAGAACATTTAAATTAAATCAGTGAGATAGCAATGTAAATCACTAATCTCTTTCCCAAAGGCTAATGTTCCATTGTCGTGTTCTTGAGAGAAATAGGCATTTTAAAGATTTAGCCATTGCCATTGTTTGGTTGGAAATATGCTGATTTGAAAGTGGACAACTCTCTTGTTCCCAGTGTCTCATTAAATGTAGTTGCTGAGATACGATCAAGCAGAATTAGAGGCTGATATCCCTCTGTCTATTCAGCTAGAGAGCTCCTAAGAAGAGGAACTCTGAATTTGTTAGTACTGCCAGGTTCATGTTCCTTTCCCTAAAACAGCAGATTTCTTGAAATGTGCTAGAATTGGTTTGATATTTCCACTGCCATTTGGTGTCATTTTTGCCAGAGGTTTAGTAGCAGCATCAAGTTTATTTCATTAAATACACTGGGACCTATGCTAACTTGGGGATGCAAAGAAGACTAAGAGAGACCCAATCTTCTCTCTTTAGAGACTTAGTCTAGAGGAGAAACTGGCAAACAATTAAGTATTAATTAAAAGAGGTTGTTGTTGTTAAGTGCCATCAAGTCAGTTCTGACTTACAGCGACCCTGTATAGGGTTTTCAAGGAGCAGCTGGTGAGCTTGAACCACCGACCTTGAAAGAGGTTGTTGTTGTTGTTAAGTGCCATTGAGTCGGTTCCAACCCATAGCGACTCTGTACAGAGTTTCCAAGGGTATAAATCTTTACGGGAGTAGAAAGCCTCATCTTTCTCCTGCAGAGCAGCTGGTAGTTTCGAACCGCTGACCTTAAGGATTGTTGCCCGATTCGTAACTACTACAATACCAGAGCTAGAGGCCCAGAAAAAGCAGCTCTTAACTCGGCCTGAGGAATTAGTAAAGGTTTTATAGAGACATTTACTTTGAACTCTGAAGGATGAGTAAAACTTTGCCAGGTAAGTATTTCTCCAACAATGTATCTGATTACAAACATCCTAGAAGCTAGCTAATGTTGTCTGCAGACATCAATGGAGATAAAGAAACACTGAGACATAGTCTCCATTTTATCACCAGTACCTCCAGCTGAGCTTAATACAAAGCTACAAATGCTTGTAGAATGAATGAATAAATGAATGAACGAACGAATGAACGACCGAACGAACGAACACATAGAAGCAGAGTGGGATCACCTGAGCCACTTTACTCAGGCATCCTCTCCTGATTCCCATTACTTACTGTTTCTGAGAACTCAAAAAGCACTGATTTTCTGAGCAGCGATCACTATGGCATCTTTATGTTATGTGAGCCCAGCATCCGTAACTACAGTGTGATTTCTCGGTTCTGACTAGTATCAGAAGAAGATTAGGATTGGAGTCAGACAATATGGGTTCTGTACTGCTTACTAACTAGCTGTGGAATTGGGGGCAAATCACCTTTTCTAAGCCTCCATTTCCTCTTGTGCTAATGAGATTAAGAATACCTGTTTTATTGGAGTGGAGAGTGAAGCGTCCAGCTGATAAGAAGAGAGGGCACATGCATAAGAACATCCACACTTGCAGATAATACCCACCTGACCTGGCTTCAATGGCTGGATGATCAGAGCTCAACCAGAAGAAGAAAGAAGAGGAAAAAAAGAATAATCTGATACAGTTTGATGAGCTTGACCTACACCTAGGGAAGCAGTAGCTCAAATGAGGGAACAAATCTTCACAGCGAGGATCACTCCCACCCCCTCCACACAAGGAGAGGACAGGCATGGGCAACTTGGATATTGGCTAACCAGAATGGGAGGGTTACAGAGGCAAGAAGTGACTTGCTACAAGCTTTCAAGAGGGAACCTAGATCAGAGGGCATGGAGCAAGGTAGAATCTCCACTTAGTAGTATCCAATCTGTCTAGGTGGGGCCGAGGAAAAGAGATGCGGATAGGTCTCGTGCAATACAATGGTGAATAACTGTTATCAGGACTGATTGTAAGGGCTGGAAATGTAAAGGTAGAAATTTTGTAGCAAAGGGAGGGGAAGAATAATAAATTTTGCAGTCTAGGGGCGGAGGTCTCTGGGACCATCAAGGGAGAAGAACGGAGAATGGAACCCTACCCAGAGAAGCAGTGACTCCAGAGATGGAGGCAGAGACGAGGATGCGGAGAGATGGAGCCACTGGGGACTTTGGACCTGGAGAGGGAGAGGGCCTGTGTGCTGATGATCGAGGGGGCAGGCTTGCTGGGTATACCCTGTGGTTGGTGGATGATGCATGAAGGGGATTGTAACCATGGCAAGGAAACATGGGATCAAATGTAAAGCTAATGTTCCCCCATGTAAACTATCACATAACTCAAAATAAAGCATCCTATCTATATGTTTCAATAAAAAACAAAATGCATTTGCAAAAAAAAAAAAAAAAAAAGAATACCTGTTTTACCCATTTATTCTAGGGATTAAAGTAGATAATGGATGTGAAAGTAACAGGACCTCCTACTCATAGTAGAGTCTCATTGTATGCATTTGGAATCCTACTTATCTACCTCTAGCAACATTCATCTTGTATAACATTTACCTTTGAAGAAAATATTTTTATAATTACTTTGGATTCTTAAAATTTGGATTCTTTATCAGAAAAATTCCAAACATCAGACTTTTTTAGCTGTTTATCAGCCTGAACCCCATACAGGTATCCCCCATTTTTTGAAAGTTCACTTTACGCTACTTTGCCTTTACAAAAGACCTATAATAGTACCTGCTTTAGATAACTGAAGAAAATCTGAAAATAATTTTCTTTTACAAAAAGCAAAAAGGTAAAACTAGCATTCAGTGTTTGTTTTGCAGCAAACCAAACTCCCCATCTCAGTCAAACTGTCATAGCTTGGAACTGGCTGTGAACACTATGTTTTTACTGTTATTTTGGGTTTTATGTGTCATTTGGTATGTTTGTTGTTGTTGTTATGTGCCGTGGAGTCAGTTCCGACTTATAGTGACCCTGTCTCGGGTTCCCAAAGCTGTAAATCTTTATGGGGGGCAGAAAGCTTCATCTTTCTCCCGCAGAACAGCTGGTAGTTTTGAACTGCTGACTGTGAGATTAGCAGCCCGATTCGTAACCACTATGCTACTTTGGTAGGTTATTTTTTGTGTCTGGGAGAGCTCAAAAAATTTCCCATGTAACTGATAATTGCATTTTCGTCTTACACCATTTCACCTTGCTGAAGAGTTCATATGAATGCTCGATCTTCAGATAGCAGGGGAAGCCTGAATTTGTCTATAAATGCCTTTTGCTTAGAATCACACAAAACAACTTTTTCTTTAGTATCATAACATACTTATTTAATATGAAGACAAAGACCTGCTTTCTTGATATTATGTCAAAATTTATTCTTAAACAGCATTTCACAAGTTGTTTTGTATGTTACCTTTACTGCAAAATCATTTCTTCCCATGTCCTGATAACTGTTGCTATTCTTAAACTCAGCTCTTCTACAAAGTAGCACTAAGAAGTTAATCAGCAATTTAGACTCTGTTGTTCAACCGTACATATTGCAAATTATATTGTAGAATTTCAGTTTATAATTTCAGTTATTTATTGACAATCCAACTATGACAGAGGACACTTCTGTACTTATAAAAGAGAACACATTAAAGACTCTGAAAATTGCCAGTGGAACTAAATAAAACTTTTTTTAAAAGTAGAAAACTACTCAGTGTTCAAATTTTTAAAGATTTTTAAAGAGGGAACTTCAAAAGCTTGTGGAAAAATTTTATTATCTTTCATGTACTTTTTGAAGCCCCCTTATATAATAAGAGCAATTTTGTCATTTAATTTGGGTATTTTCTTTGCATAATTAAATAGTTTAAAATTATATTTCTCTTCATATGTAGAATATATATTAAATATAAACAATTATAAATCTATTTTATTTAAGGAAAAAGCCATTCTATTGCAATTTCTGCTTGAGACAAGCTTGCACATGCTAACAGAAATCTTGCCATAGCAGTCTGTAAAACATGAGAGATATAATCATCCTAGCTTTTTTAGAGTATAAGGAAGTGGAATTCATTCATACTAGTAGATACTTTAAGAACTCCAATTGTACTCTTTGAGGGAATAGCTTTTGATTTTTGTTTTTGCTGTTTGTATTGACTAGCTGTGCCTTTACAAAGTTCAACAAATCTTACATTAGTGGATACTTTAATTGACCAGTTTTTCTTCTCTTTTCAGAGAAAGCTTCTTGCTATCTACCTCCACCATGATGAAAGTGTATTAACCAACGTGTTCTGCTCACAAATGCTTTGTGCTGAATCCATTGTCTCTTATCTGAGTCAAAATTTTATAACCTGGGCTTGGGACCTAACAAAGGACGCCAACAGAGCAAGGTAATAATGTTGTTCACAAGTTGTAAGTTGAGCTTCTTTTTTCATTTATTTTAGTCATCACTTTGTTTGGTTTCTTATAATCATAAGCATTTCTCATCCACAGCATAGAATTTTCAATCATTACATTTCATTAGAACACATGCAGTTATTTATAATTGTGGAAATAATACCTTAACTCCTAAAAGGCTCTTCTTAAATTTACAAATCACCCCAAAACAAAAACAAAAATGCATTTCTCTAATCTTTGTTGGAGTAAGATATAGCAAACTTCTGATATGTTGTTGAACATTAGAGAAAAATCTATGTTTTTAATAATGTTCAGAAAATTCAAGGCAAGTTTAACATATAATCCTGGTGGTAAGTTTATTTTTTAATAACTGAAGTGAAGAAGGCAGGATATTCTGCATCAGTCCAGTGGTATTGGTAATAGCTTAACTCTAGCATATGCTAATTGATGTAATCGCTTTATTGCACACATTCTTTTGCACACAGCCAGCAATACATCCATATTCTCAATAGGAAAAAAAAAAAAATCCCTTTCCTGGCTGCCAGCATAGTTTACTTAGTTTGTTAACCATAATATCTGCCAGTGATGAATAATTCTTCATATTTTACCTATTTAAGTTTCTCATATGAATTAAGTTTAATTGCACATGTGGCCATAACATCTTGTGATGCTACTTTGGATGTGTTAACACAATTGTAATCACAGGCTGCAGGCTTGTGAACAGGAAGATTAAATTAATTCATTTCAAGGCAAAGCTGTTGTATTTAACTAACTTAAGGGATCATAGAACAATTCAAAACCATCAGATTTGTCTTGTTATTATGACTCATTGAATTTTTGATTATCACTCAGACTTTGTTTTATTTAATCTGAATCTGAAGAGAAAAGATGATTCCTTACTTAAATGTGAAGCTAAAGAATGTTGAAGCAATTTCTTCATCTGATACTGCATATCTTCAAGCAAATGGCTAGGAAATTTCATAGGATGACTTTGCCTGCCTTGGAAATTTTCCCTGTTATATATAAATAAAGAACCTTTAGCACCTGTATTTGTTTAAATTAAATCAGGCTATTATTCACACTCAGTTAAAGGTGATGAAAAGCAGTGCCAAAAACAGATAAAAATGCAGCATCGAAGGTCTTTCATGAGGCAAAATACATAGACTGGAGACTTGGCTAAATCTTTTGCCATTCACTGGCAGTAAGGAATCTCCTCCTTTCCTTTTATTCACAACTTGATGGAGAAGGAAACACTATTTCTAAACCATCTGTAGTGGCTAAGTTCAGCTGGCTACCTGCTGTTATTTTGTTCTATCCTCCATTTAATTCCTTAGTTCTTTTATTTTACAATGACAAAAAATTGCAGTGTAGTTTCTTTTGAAAAACAGTGTTTGAGGGGTTTGCTTTTTTTTTTTTTTTTTTTATGACTAGCAATCAACAGCCATGTAATTGCTTTGTTATGTTTTACTAAAGAAGTCTGTTAAGTAGCACAACTTTGATACACTAGTAATAAGAGTTTGCAGGTTACAGAGACACCTGTGGTGACCAAAGCGACAGAAGCTGCTTATTAGAAAGAGCCAGTACAGCTGTGTCCTATTAACTCCTTATGACACTTTTTTAAACACAAAATAAAGGCCTTGTTTAAGACTTTGAGCTATTTCTCAATGAATTACAGGACTGACTATGAAGTATAATAGGATATTTTAATCTACATTTTAAAAAAAAATGTAGCATCCCGTTATTAAGATACTGTCATAAAATAAGAGAAGTGATATATTAAAGGCTAAAAATAGAAACATCTGATTTTTCTATTTAATAAACTTTTGTTGAACAAAAAAAAATGGAGGAATAGAGAGAAGGGACTTGAACAATTTTTGTACGCAAATTCTAGCTCTATCCGTATTACAAGTTAAAGATAATTTAAGCAAAAGTAGTACAATTCTCAACATAAAGTAATAAATAATACCACACAAGTGCTTTTCATGTATAGTTCCTATGTTATTATTGTGAAGGCAGAAGGGAAAAATACACATTTTACAGATAGAAAATGATAATTCAGTGGAAGGGTATATTCCCAAAAGGGAGCAAAGGTGATTTTCCTTTTGATACATAAAACCGCATGAGAATTGACTAATTAGTTTAATTTATTGCCCACAAAAAGGGTTTACTTTAGCTATAATTCTCTTACTGCTTATCATTGATACATCTAAATGAAATTTTCTAATTGAGTTTCTTGCTCTGTGATCTTCCTTGGATTTTTATTACCACACTTATCCAAAGGTGTTTGTCATGAAAATTGAGTGCATGATCCATTTGATTCTTTTAACTTGGAGTAAAACAATTTCAAACTTTCCATCTCTATTTAATAGAGGACTAATATTATTTCATTGCCACTAATATTTATTGATCAGTGCTATCCAGTGAATCCTGGTTTGGCACTGTGGGTTAATACACTAAACTGCAAGGCCAGTTTGAACCTCAAGATTGGTGGTTCAAGCTCATCAGCTGCTCCTTGGAAACCCTATCTATACAGGGTTGCTATGAGTCAGAACTGACTTGATGGCACTTAACACCAACAACAGTACACCTAAAAAAGTGTCATAATGGGCATATTAATGCAACTGTTAGTCAAAAATTATTGCTATAAAACCATAGGAACCTTTATTAAACAAAAATATCAAAATGTGAAGTGAGTGTTTCTCTACATATTCTTTATCTAGGTGTATACACATCTGAAGGTGATATTTCCATCTCTCTAACCCTTTCCCCAAAGAATTCTCTGCTCTTCAGTTTACACCACATCAAAACTGCAGTTTGGGCATTTTCAAGGGACTCAAATTGTGTTTCTTTTCAATGTTATTTGCATTTTGGAAACAAAATAAGTCTAAAGGGGCAATATAAGGGCTTGTGGGGTAGATGGGGTAAGGTTTCCTAATGAAATTCTCTTGGGACAGCCCTTACTGTCCTCATAGAATGAGCAGGTGCATTGTTATAATGAGACAAAATTCCTTTGCACAACTCTCATGGCCTTTTTCTCACCAATGAAGTTTTCAGTTTTGTTAAAACTTCTTAATAAACCCCAGTGATCATCCTGTGTCCTTCAAGAAAATCTATCAATATTACCCAGTTGGGATCTCAGAAATATAGGCATCATAACCTTCTGACTTGCCCTCTCAGTCTTGATCCCCCAGGAAGCCACTGTTTTGATTATACTATTTTAATTATTAATTGAATGAAGGTGTACTGACAAAATGATCGGTTTTACATTCAACAAATCTTAACACTTTGTTTCATCTCTATGATTTCAATCTCCTCCATGGAACAATAGTTATCTCAGTTCCCTGTGGTTCCTGTTTCCATTCCACCTACCTTCCCATTCCCTGTCAACTTTGTCCTTAGATAAATGCTGCCCTTTTGATTTTGAATGATTAACCATTCTGTCGTGAGCATAATTTACTAATGTTGTTGTTTCCCTCTAAGTACCTATCTTGGTGGTTATGTGTCATGGAGTCGGTTTCCAAGGCTGTAAATCTTTACGGGAGCAGAAAGCCTCATCTTTCTCTTGTGGAACCACTGATAGTTTTGAACTGCTAACCTTGAGGTTAGCAGCCTGACTCATAACCACTACGCCACCAGAGCTCCTTAAGTGCCTATCTTGGTGGCTGAAATTTGGACCCTGAGGGTAAGTTCCTTTCCAGACCTGAAGCATGGTTGAGGGCCATAGTCTCAGATTCCTCAGTCTCTTTCTAATCAGTAAGTGTGGTCTTTCTTTCTTTTTTTTTTTTTTTTTTAAATAATTTGAGTTTAGTTCCACATTTTCTCCCACTCTATCTGGGATCTGGAGTCCTGTTGTGTCACTGTGGGTTAATGCACTGTACTGCAAAGTCAGTTTGAACTGCAAGGTTGGTGGTTCAAGCTCACCAGCCACTACTAGGAAACTATATACAGGGTTGCTATGGGTTGGCATTTAACAACAACAACAATCTAGTACCTATTAATGTGATCATTAGACAGTTGATAGTGATAGCTTGACACCATCTAGTTCTCCTGGTCTCAGAGTTATGGAGACTGATGCTCAAATGTTCCATTCTGTACATTGGACTAATTGATTCCAATCATTTTTGATTATCATCACTCTTCTTTCTATTGCACATGGAGAAACCAATAGCTGTACCTTAAATGGGCCCTCATAAGCTTTTAAGATCCTACATGCTACCCACCAAAGTTGGATGTAGAACATTATCCTTGTGGATTATGTTATGTGATTAGACTTTATTTTAAAGACACCCTAAAGAGACTATGGTAGCGTAGTGGTTACAAATCGGGCTGTGAACCACAAGGTCAGCAGTTCGAAACTACCAGCTGCTGCGCGGGAGAAAGATGAGGTGTTCTGCTCCCGTATAGATTAACAGCCTTGGAAACCCTGTTCAGGGTCACTATGAGTCGGAACCGACTCCACGGCACATAACAATAACAACAAAGAGACTATGCAGTCCTGTGGGATAATACGCTGGACTGCAGGGTCACTTTGAATCTCAGGGTCAGTGGTTCAAATTCACCAGCTGCTCCTCGGAAACCCTATACAGGGTCTCTAGGAATTGGAACCAACTCAATGGCACGTAACAGCAACAACAACAACAAAAAAGACTAAGGGGAGTCCTAGTGTGGCATTGTGGGTTAATTTGCTGAACTGCCATCGGTTTGAACCACAAGGTTGGCCGACTAAGGGGAGTCCTAGTGTGGCATTGTGGGTTAATTTGCTGAACTGCCATCGGTTTGAACCACAAGGTTGGCGGTTCAAGTTCACCAGCTGCTCCTCAGAAACCTTATACAGGGTCACAATGAGTCAGAATCGATTTGACGGCACAACTAACAACAAAGAGACTAAGACAGGTGTATTACTGAATTTGTCTGCAGCCTTCCATTAATCACAGAAACAGGTTTAAACATATTTTGTTGGAATAAACCTGTTAATGTTTGATCTGGTGTCCTA